ACAGCCGCAGGGGACGGGCGACCGCGCTTCAGCTGCCGAGTCTTTTCTTCTCGTTAATTCATAACAGTGTCTTTAAAATCCCGGGGCAGCATTCGAGAACAGTCGAGTGTGCGGCGATGGTCCTTCCTTGGGAGACGCCCGCGCTGCCAGCTGGGCGGCCCGCGCATTCTTGGTGCCACAGCGGCCTCCAGTGGCCGCCGGAGGAGTCACGCGCTGTGGCCTGGCCCGGCGAGAGGTGCAGGCGCCCCGCCACCAGGGGGCGGCGCTGCGGGTCGCGGTCGCGGCGGAAGCGCGAGTCCAGTGCGCCCCGTGGAAGCAGCGTCCCGCGTTCCCCCCGGTCCCCGGCGCGGGGTTACTTCACGTTCCACGCCAGCGTGTAACAGATCTGCTGACCCAGTTTGGCACATGCCCCATCCTAGTGCACTGAGCTCTGGGAATGTTTGTCTTTAACTCAAGCCGTGGTGATGGATGCGTGAAAAAGGAAAAACCTTTGAAAGAGGACGCAGTGTCGGGCCAAGACTGATTCTTGAGCCGCAATGGATTGCTGGGTGGGAAGCGTGTGGGGAAGGTCGAGGCCCCCTGCTGAGCCTTCCCAGGCAGCGCTCCCAGGCACTGCTGAGAACACACGCCCTTCGCCTCCTCCCTCCCCACATAATGCAGCTCAGGCAGAGTCCAGGGCTGTTGCCCTTTGATGGAAAACAGTGCACAGAACCACCAGAGATGGAAAGTTTGGCACAGAGAGGCGGCTGTCTCTTCCTCTCTTCTCTCTCTCACACACGCACGCACACACTGCACCTTCCAGTGACAGAGGCAAATTCTGAATAGGTGCTCGTCAGCTTCTTTCCTCTCACAAGCTGAACTGTGGGCGGCTCACTCAGTAGCACGGGTGGGGCCCATCTATGCCACAGTTCGGCTGAAGTCCGCCTCGTGGGTGGGGGGACCCAGGTGGGACCACTGCCCAGGGCCTGCCCTCTGCGCATGGAGAGGCCGAAAAAGGGCGGCGGACTGGGCTCTGAGCCTGTTTCAACTTGGCTGGCAGTGAATCCTGCTGAGCGGTGTCTCCTCTGGGCATCAGCTGCCCCACCAGAAGGAGCTGTGTGGGGGTCCTCAAACTGCTCTTGGGGTCTAGCTATGGTGCCACTGTCGGCCTCAAACTCTTTCAGCCTCTTCATTCATTCATTTGGTGAACACCTACGTGCCTTAAACATGTCTTGGGCCAGCAGCTGAGAAGAGACGCGCAAGGCATGAACCCTGCCTTAGAACTTGGCCATGGGAAAGTGCCCTATCTGGGCACCAGGTGCCCTGCTGATGGGAGTGTAACTTTGTGCACCTCTTCGGCGGCCAGCTTGTAGCCACACACTAACTCCCTGAGCCGGGGGCTGACCATGAGCCCCAGCAGAGGAGCTGTGGGGATCTTTTAATGGAGCAACACACAGAATCACCAGGAAGGCTGCAGCTGACCTCGAGAACAGGCAGGGACAGATGCCGGGCGGCTCGTTGCCACCCCGGGGACGAAAGAGCTGGCAATCAGCCACCCTGGCCGCTGCCTGCTCCCGCCCGCCATGGCCGTGAAGCCTGGGTGCCGCGCAGGGCGTCGTGCTGGCCGCCAAGCTCCGCAAGGCCGGAGGGTGACGGCAGCCGCTAGGTGAAGGTCACAGGTGTGCTCTTCCACTCTGACCTGGAAATTCCATTTTGGAAACTGAGCCCTTTGGTGGTGTGCGAGTATTTCGGAACGTCGGCTTAGGGGAACCATCAGTGTAAGGGTTGGGTCAAGCACTAAGGGACAGCTTTTCCCTCCAGGACCCCAGGAACCCATTTGCTTTACGAAAAAGAGTAGGCCCTCTGTGGCGTAGGTGCTAACGGTTATCTGGTTTCCCTAAACAGGTACAGCGGACTGGTCAGCCCCCCTCCTATCACCCTGGGGGTCCCCAGCTGCTCGGCCCACTAGGGCTTTTCTACAAAGTCTGCTCCCTACAGTCAAGAACTGGATGCCTTTTTTTTAAGATTTTTTATTCATTTATTCATGTATGCATATAGGAATTGGGGTCCAGGCCAGAGGTACAGGGGGTGGGTGAGAGGATCTCCCAGAGACAGAGTGGGGAGCAGAATAGGCAGATGGACTGAAACACACTGCTGAGGGGAGCAGCAGGCGGGAGGGCCCAAGACTTGGACCCCTTTGGACCCCCACCGCCACCCCCGAGATGCCAGCCTGTTCTCCCACAGGTAGGAACAGGTTACGGCCTGTTGCCTGCACCGGGCAAACCGCCACAGCGGGGTCAGGATCTGTGAAAGGGCTGCACCTGTTTTTTTGTTGTTAGACATATTAACATTTATTAGTGAGTGAGAGGATCAAAATTCTTTTTCACTATGGAACTTCATAATATCAATAGGAACTTAAATTTTTAAATGCTACAGTTTTAGAGACTAAGTTTAAGTTAATTCTTAAAGTAATTCAGTTTAGGTTTTTTTTTTTTTTCATTTTTCACACTAAAATGTGCAATCTTGCTTCTTTCTTGTTTCCTATAATTTTTTTTTAATAATAGTTTATTTTTACATCATTTTGTGTCTTTTCCCAGCTCAGCTGCAATCCCCGTGGACTTCCCATCACCGAATCACCCATGTGCCATCACCACAGTCCCATGCATTCGCTCCCCCCATTTTTGATCCCATTCCCCGCTCCACCCCCAGAAAATGTCTCTGGTATATAGCTATTCATTATTATTATTTTCTCGCCTGGTCCATTATACTCATGAGTGAAACCATCCGGTATTTTTCCTTTTCTTTCTGGCTTATCTCACTAAGCATGATCCCTTCCAGCTCCATCCAAATTGCTGCAAAAGGCATGTTTCCCTTTTTTGGTTGCTGAGCAATATTCCATTGTGTATATGTACCCCATCTTTTTAATCCAGTCATCCACTTTTGGGCATTTGGGCCCAAAAGTCCATGTTTTTCCGATTGTAAATAAAGCAGCAGTAAACATGGGGGTGCAGGTGTCTTTCTGAATCAGTGTTTTTGTGTCTTTTGGGCAGACCCCTAGGAGTGGGACTGCTGAGTTGTAGGGAAGCTCCATGTTTGGCAGTTTGAGGAACCCCCAGTTTTCCATAGCAGTTGTACTCGTTTGCCTTCCCCCCAGCAGGCTGCACCTGTTTTTAAGGCAGCAGCAAGCAGGCCCAACAGAGCCGCGAGACCGGCCTGCAATGGCGGCGAATCCATGGTTCACGGGGCCAGTCTCTCAGGCTGCGCTCAATCCAAACACGAGCACACCTTCCCTGTAGCATGGAGATGGGTTCACAAAGCCTATTAAGTAAATAATGAGCTTTGAATATAAATCACCTGCAAAATGCTCTTCCAAAACACCCCCTAACAACAGTAAATTCAGGCCCGGCTTCTGTAAATGCCAGCCTGGGGCCGGCTCTGAACCGTCTCACCTGTGTACATCTGCATCCTTGACGTTTACAGGCAGGAGAAAGGGCGACGCAGCTGACCTGACCCTTCGGCTGCTCTCCAGATCCTGACTCTGGACCCTAGCAGGTGCCAGATACTCTAGCGCAAGTCTGTGGCGGCTGCTGGCAGCGGGATGCCATTCCTCCCGTCTGGCCCGCGCTCATCCAGAAGCCAGATTCGCCCTCATCAGGGCTGCGGCGAGTGACACCTGCAGGGCCTTCAGGAGCCTGGGAGGGAGGGCGTCTGGAAGGGAGGCTCTTACCCACAGGGAACAGCACGGGTCACTAGAGAGCGGGCTGACGGCGGCCCTTCAGCTTCAAGTTCTCCCACCCAGGACAGGGAAAGGACCCAGGGGCCCCACGACAGGCAGGGACTCGGCTACAGCAGGCGCCACCACTGAGGGTCACGCGGAGGGCTAAAGGAGACAGCAGGCAGAGGGCCCCAGGGATGGCGGGGTTGAATTTCAACCCCACCCGGGCTGGATCCAGGAGACCCTTCAGAGCTCTAGCCTGCCGCATGGCCCTCGGCAAGGAAAAAGGGCATGAGCCCATTCAGGAGTGCACCCCCACTGTGGCTTACCCGGCAGGTCTGTGCGCCGGGGAACCTGGCAGGCGTGAGTGGGCCCAAGGTGGGGAAGAGGAGACTTCACCATCGTTCAGTGAAAACGTGCCGTCTGTGGCTCCTTGAGGCACCTTGCTAAGCCACAGATTCACACGGGCTGGGTTTATGCCCGGATCATCAAAAGCAGAGATTGGAACAGATGTCTGCACACTTGTGTTCATAGCAACATCACTCCAGTCAGTGAGGAAACGAACCAAGTACCCCTCAGGAGATGAGTAGGTAAGCAGAGGCCAGCCGGGCCCCGTGGAAGGGCAGCAAAATGTGGCTCACGCTGTGACAAGCACAAGCCCCAGGGACACGCTCACGGTGCAGTGAGCCATCGGCCGAGGTGACCCACGCAGTCCCAAGGAGCCAGCGCAGCCAGCAGACAGCCCATGTCAGGCCTGCCAGGGTGGCAGGGTGGGAGCTGCTGTTTGACGGCTGCTGAGCCTCCATCTTGCCAAGCGAAGTTCTGGATCTGGGGTGCTGGGGGCCACAGACAGGGTGAATGGACTGCCACCCCAGCTCTGCACTGAACGATGGTAAAAGTGGTCAATCGACGGTATGTGTCCCTTGCACGAATGACGAGCCTGTACACCGTGGCGTTACTTAAAAAGAGCAAAGAAGGCAGGGACCGGGGACGTGCAGCCGTCACCAGCGCTCATAGAGCTGCCAGGCACAAGGGACGACACGAGTGTCACATCGCAGGGGCAGCATTTGAGATGGTGCAGGTGAGGCGACAAGGGTCCGTCCAAAATAAGGTCGCAAGGCACTGAGCCTAAGACAAATGCCCGGATCTGTGCCCATGTGCACAGACAGAAAGAAAGGCATCGGGGCGGCTGTGTTCTGAGGTGCGGCGGTGCTTCCTCCCACCGGTGTCCATAATGTGCATCTACTTACCGTGGCGACAGGGTGCAGACAGTGGGTGAATTGAGTATAAACCAAACCACAGAAAAGCAAAGGAAAGTGAGTATTTATTCAACTTCAAGACTAACGGGAAAGGGGGGGTCACACGGAGTAGGCAGGAGGCAACCAGCACATTCACAGTCACAGAGAGAAGACCAAGTTTCGAAGCTCTAACAACATACTGTACCCACCTACCATGGCCACGGGGATCAGGTTGACGGGTTTTTAATGGTTTATTTATATGCCTGTTGGTTCTGTTATTTTTTGTTTTACTACCCTAAGGCAGCACCAGTGTGGAGGGTCAAACAGAAATTTTTGGCAATTTGGCACTAAAAGGCTAAGGGGATCATCTGAAACATACAAATATTTTAAGCACAAAGTGGTTCATCACAGCGTTACTTGAAATACTGAAAATCTGTATGCAACTGAAACTTCCAGTAAGTGAAGAAAGGTCAAATGATGATAAAGCCACACCAGAAAGCGCATTTCCACCAGTGTGAAGCATCTCTGCAGAAGTCTGTAGTGCCTGCACACAGTGCCGGGGCGGGGAGAACATCAAACCGCGTGGCAAAGCACGTGGCATGAACACAGGAGACAGAACTCACACCCCAGAAAAGACGAGATACTGCGTGACTGTCTGCGGGGAAAAGCACTGTCGCGCACGCTCACCCTTTACTGTGCTTCTCTTCCAATGTCCCCATCATCGTCACGAGTTTTACGTTGAGAGCCTCGGTTGACGTCAGGCGGCCACGGGTCCTGGGGCGGCGCTCATCGCACGCACCGTCTAGAGTCACAAATGCTTAGCCTCATGGGGGGCGTGGGAGAGGGCATGAAGAATGGCCGTGACCGCGAACGGGTGAAGAAGGGGAGGGACGGCCTAGGGCGGGAGGGGGGCGGGCTGGCCAGGAAAGCGAGGGACCAGCAAGCTGGTCAGCCGAGGAAAGGGGCTTTGTGGAGTCAGGGAAGACTCTGACTGCTCAGCGGAGGGCATGTAGACCCAGTAGTAGGCACTGACGGTGTTGTCAAGGGCAGGGTCGAAGAGGGATTCCAGGAAGACACGTGGATTCCTTCAGGGGCAGGGGAGGAGAGCGGAGGGGCGGTCAACTACGAGGAAAGAGGTACGAGGGGCATGGCGATGGAGGAGCAGGAGGGGGAGGCTGAAGCCAGAGTGAGCTCCCTGCTGGCCCCTAAACCAGACACGCTCCGCCCCGCTCCGGACAAGTCTTTGTGGGCAGAGGCAGAGTCAACAGGCCACAGAGTGGACCGGCGCCCACGCGGAGGTGGTCTGGGCCCACGCCGGGCTGGGATCGCAAGTTCTGATGTCAACTAAACTGTACAAGGGAATGTGCTCATGGGAAATGGGGATGGCCACCGACAGTGGCCCCTGCGAAAGGCGGTCTGACTCAGGGGGTCAGAGCCTGCGTCTGAGAAGCCGCAGACGCCGAAGCCGCTCGCCCACGCAGAGCAGAGCTCGGTGTGCGCGGCCCACTGCGGGCGGGTCAGGGAAGGTCTGTCTGCAATTGGGCTGAACTGGAGTCATCTTTTACTATCTTGCCTTTTTCTGGTTACCACTTAAACGCTGCGGCAACTCGACCCAGGCCGCTGGGTTTGTTTCATGCACATTCACCTTTAAGCACTGACGTGGCACTGGACAGAGGACACTACACGTCACTCGCGCTGACACAGGACTACGTGCGTTAGGCGAGCACATGGCGCAGTGAGGTGAGAAGGTAACAGACCGGCTTCACCAGGCTGTAACTGAGTCGGGAATATGCCACCCTCGGAGGATGACAGTCTGGGCTGAATCCTACCTTTCTGATTGTTTTCGTACTTAGGAAACACAGAAGTCCGTTGGGGGCCTGGAACTACCTGTTAGACTAATGCAAAGAGCTTGTCTGCCACAAAGCAGTGCTGTCTTTAGTTAGCAATAACAAGCAGAGGGCTTTTTGCTTCCTGGATACATGGTTGTCTGCACCCAGCCGTCCCTGAAGGAGGAGATGCTGAGGTGGCTGTGGCCGGCCCCACCGCGGACAGCCGGACGCGTAAGCGGCTCGCGCAGTGCGTGACGCCTTCCCGCACGTGGCCTCCGGAGTCAAGGTCGTCTTACTTGCCCCCACCTTAATATTTGCTCCAGAAATCTCTGGAAACTTCAGCTGACTTTCCCACACATCATGCCTTCCGTTTATTGAGTATAATTATGTGATGAGAATCCGCACATTCATCATTTCAGGCAATTTCATTTTTAGATTTTGCAATTGTGTGGTCTTAGAAATAAAATTTAGACTTAGGGGCCTTGGCATCTTGCATGATGGTTTGACTTTATATTTTACATGCTGATGTAGAGCTGTGAATCTACTGAGCTATAACCACGACCATGAACAAAGGAAGCAGGAACTTGCTGTCAAACCGAATTGTAGAAATGCACTAAGTCCCACAAACGCGCAGAGTATTTGTTGAGTGCACCGTTTGCTTATGTGGTCTCGGTAGCTCAAGGTGTGGCAATTTCAGTTTGTTCACTGGTACTTACTCATATTCAACAAATAAGCAAGGGCTGTTCCAAAAAAAAGGGAAAGGTTCAGCGCAGCCCTACCACAGCCACCTGGGAACTAATGAAGAGAAGACCGAAGGCTCGGCCGTGGCGCACCCTGACGGCGGCCGCTCGGGCAGCTCCTGACCTGGGTATTTACAAGCCTGCAGCCTACCGCCTCCCTCTGGCTGGAAGAGGCTCAGCGTACCTGCCATCCGCACGGGACACGCAAGGCGTCAGCGCCGGCGGGAGGGCCCCCCCAGGGAGCCGTTATACACATTGTGGTCCTGCCAAGGGTCGGAATCTACAAAATACAGTTCCCCTGCATGGACATCAGAAAAGTTAGCCAGAAACTCGTGGGGGTCGAAGCCGACCCACACGGTGTACCTGTAGTCTAGAGTGCGGATGGAATAGCCCATGACCTTGATATCTTTCAGACTTGGCTTGTCCGAGTTCCACTGAGGAGAGTCCGCAGGCCGAGGGTACTGGCTGTAGGCGATCGACTCCCGGGGACCAGTAACATGGTCCGGCTCGTCTTCCACAGTGGGTGGTCGGAAATACTTCAGCAGGCTCTGGCCTTCTCTGCACAGCTCGACATGAAAGGAGGGCACGGGGCACGGGGGCGGCACAGGCAGCCCCGCAAGGCCCGCAAGCGTGGGAAAGAGAGCGACGAGTTCCACGGGCTCCACGACTGGCCGGCCTGCAACAGAAGCCCCCAGAAGAGCAGGTCATGGCCCGGAAGCCTCGCCGGCCTGCACGGCTACACTATCTTTTCTCCTGTGTTGAATGTTTGCATGAGAATTTAGAAGCAACGCCAGTTGGGCGCCTTGCCCAGTGCAGGGTGCAAAATGAAGGCGTCTGCGCCCCGGAACAGCAGCGTAATGGCTGGCTCATGCAGGGGCACGGACGAGGCCTGAAGCGCTGGGTAAAATGTCTGCTCGGGGACAGGGCACACCGAGCATCCCAGCGTCGCCCCGCTGATACCCCTTTCTGCACGTCTGCACAGGTCCATCTCTCTCTGCTGTGCAAACTACCTACAGAACATTGGGCCCACTGCCCTGAGCATTCTGGGCATACAGGTCAGTGGCTCAAGTGTTCACCTCGCTTCACCAACATCGCCACCACCATCCAGCTCTCAACGTTGCTGCATCTTGCAAAACTGCAACTCTATCATTAACCTAAAGTGAAGAGTCAGTCAGCAGCTGCCCATTACACAACTGCTCCCCACCCCACTCCTCCAGCCCGGCACCCACCATCCCACGCTCCGGCTCTGGGAACGGGACTGCTCTAGGACACCTGTGGGTGGAATCACAGGGCGTGTGTCCCTCCGAGTCCAGCCTATGTCACTCAGCATGTCCTCAGGCCCATGTCTGTAGTTGCAGCCTCGGCCTGTCATTAATGCCCTGCCCTCAGATGGGCCGTGTCGCCTATCCACTCACCCACAACGCACGCTTAGGATGCCCCCACCTTCTGCCGATGCAAACGGCCTGACACGAACAATCACGCACAGCTTTGGGTTTGAACACCTGCTTTCAATTCTGTGGGGTTTCCACTTCAGAGGGGAACTGCTGACACAGACTGTAAGTCCACGTCCCCTCTTTTGAGGAAGCACGAAGCTATTCTGTGCAGTGGCTGCGTGACTTCACAGTTTCCACTTCTTCTCATCTAAGCGGCCCTTGCTGCTTCCTCCCGAGGGCAGCATCTCACAGGGGTGAGATGCGCTGCCATCCTTTCGATCCGCTGTCATCCTGTCGATCCGCCTCTCATGCCCAAGTCCTGCCCTTTGCAATGATTTACCTTGCCTGGGACCATCAATTTGGCCTTTCTGAAATCTTTGCAAGTTGGCATTTTATACAGCCCAATTTTACTCCCTAAATGTTTGACTAGTAAGGGGAAAGGAGGAAAGAAGGCTTTAAAGAGCTCCCTTTACCATGGGAACACCTAGCCGACAAGGCCACCGCAGCCAGCTGATCGCGCTGTACCACGAGCCCAGGCCGCCAGGAGTGCTGGGTGGCGTGGCCAAAGCCCGACCTCGCGTGCAGCACATGCCTTGGAGACATTTACACGGAATCTGGCAACCAGGAAGCTGGGTAAATCCAGACTGGGGCCAGGTTCCGAGACAGCGGGCCTGGAAGTCTGTGAAAAGGTGAGGGCCCAGGCAACGCCTGGCCTTGTCCCCAGAAAAGGTAGTCGGGGAGGTGCCAGGGGACACGACCAGGCTCGAGTTGTAGAGGGTCTTTGAGGAGGAGTGTCTCCGGGGTCAAAGGCGGAAGCAAGGGGCCGGCAGCAAGCTGCACTCATCCAGCTAACGATGGCCCAGGGGTGGCAGTGAGAGGTAAGCAGGAGCCTGGACACATCTTGACTGGAGAGTGACAGGCTTGCTGACAGGCATCACAGACTGAGCAGGGGAGACAGAAAGGGAGACGGCAACTCTAGACCATGGCCTAGGCCTGAGGAGGGAGCACCAAAGGAAGGCTTAGGGTCTGCGCAGGTATGCGGCCAGGCTGTGGAAATCCCAGGCCAGAGTGCAGGGTCCTGACTTCAGCGACCAGAATCAGGCACGGGCCAAAGCCGCAAGCTCAGAGCAACGAACGGAACTGAAAGCCTAGAGGCTCACACAGACCCCACACAGGCCGCCGGGTGGCCGAGGGAACGTGTCCAGGGGCCTCTGCTGGACGAACTTGCTCACAACGGGGCTTTTTGGAAGCCAGAGCAGGACAAGTAGCCTGCTTAAGAGCCCCCGAGAGGCAAGGCTGAAAGTCTGCAGACTTCACGCGCAGCCAACAGTTGCCGTCTTCAAAAGCTGAAGGCCCAGCCGGGAAGTCAAAGGAAGCACACCCCGGACTGCCGGAGCTGGTGGAGCAGACGCCTCAGGGACTTACGGCTCTGGTGCTGACACCCCCCACTGTTCCTCCCTGGCCCTCCTCTCTCCCACTGACACTCTGGCGGAGAGGTGCAGGGGCACATATGGGGGGTGACCCTATACTCCCCAAATTATACAGTTACATAAATGACTGGCAAATCAACATTCCAGGGGAAAAAAATTCGGAAATGAAAAAAAAGTTCCTGGTAAAACGCTAGAAAGGCACACGGAACTCTCAGCGGCTCACTTCTGGAGATGTGGGTGGGTGGCAGGGGTTCAGGAGTGTTTATGACAATCTCCACAC